TCCATTATAAACCAACATGCCAAAGGATTATGACCATCCACCTAACCATGTAATGCTGCTTTTTGCAACACAACTCCAACCAGTCAGGATATGAAAGTACTTTAGTACTACGTTGTTTGTTGTTTTGCCTCCACTATTCAAAATGTTTAGTTCAGGGAACTGTGAAAGTAAACCAGATGGAAGATTTTCTTCCTAGATTAGCAGGTTATTCGCTACGGATGTAAGACTATATTCACTGAAATATCTCAATATTTTGTTTTATGATACTGAATCGATATTTAAAAACAGTGTATTGATTTTATATTGAGACTTTACATGAAAACATGCGTTGTATTTCTTTTGTGTAGTACAATTCAAACTCCAAATGCATATTTTACTGCCTTCATTCTGACAGAACGAGATCTTGAGATAAAATCGAATATATCTTAAAAGCATTGGACCTGAGCTTTACAGTGAAATTCAGTCTTAAAAATTACAAAATTATCTGGCTCTCAGTATTGCGATATATCGTCTTCCCTGTATTGTGCTGTATATTATATTACCAGATTCTTGCCAATACAACACACACCCCTATTATTTGCTTTACATATCAGTACTTATTGTAAATGTATTTCATATACAAGGCGCTTTACAACACAGCAGTCATTCGCCCATTCACACACTGGTGGGAGTGAGCTACAGTGAAGCTACAGCTGCCCTGGAGCAAACTGACAGTGACGAGGCTGCCAGTGTTGGGAAAGGTTGTTTAAAAAATGAACTAGTTCAAAGTTCAGTTCAAAGATTTTAAAATTAACTAGTTCCTTTCTTAGTTCATAAGTTCACTCAGTGGCGGTGCAAGGGGGTGCTAGGGGGCGCTATAGCTACCCCTACATTATTCACTCAGTGGCGGTGCAAGGGGGTGCTAGGGGGTGCTATAGCTACCCCTAGATTATTAACTCAGTGGCGGTGCAAGAGGGTGCTAGGGGGTGCTATAGCTACCCCTAGATTAGTCATCGCACCCCCATAGCACCCTCAAGTAAATATTAGATATTTTTATATTTTTCTTACAATTTAATTTTAACGTGTGGATGTGATAATATTTAACATACAAAAATAAAATAATCAGTAAATTATCATATAGATATTAAAAACTTAAACCAAATCAGGAAATTGATGTTAACCTTTGACCTCATTTTCCACCTGTGAACGAGTGAAAGGTAGAGCTAGTGGTAAAATGGGTCGGTTTTTGTTGCCCAAATTTCCACAGGTTCATTCAGAAACGAATGAATCTTTGGAAGTGATCTCAGACCCACAAAAACCTACGGATCTGGATGAAGAGAGTCAACCCTCAACCGCCGCAGCAGTCGAGGGTTTTGCCGCTGGAAACGCTAACACTAACGTTAGCTAAACTTGCAACACTATAGATGATTTTCTGTGTGGCTGTATGTGTTTATGATTTCACGGAAAAGTCAGCGATTGTTCATATGTTTATGATGTATATTAATGATTGTTTCAGGTGTTGTTGAGGTGTTGTGCATGCATGTGTATCTGCTAGTGTTGAAGGTGTTTTAGAGAACAATAGGTACGCATGTCTACTTGCTTCATAGCACCCTCAATAAAAAGACTAGCTCCTTCATAGCACCTGCAGAAAAACATTTCTGGAGCCGCCACTGAGTTCACTGTTCCAAAGACGAACTAGTTCATAGTTTTTGATTATATATATATATATTAATTAGACGTAGAAGAGTAGACGCCGCACCAACCGCTACTGCCTATGTTTGGCTGCTTTTGCAGGTTCTACTTTTTTAAAACTTCATGGTTAACAGGTTATTTTAGCTATAGCTTCGGAAAAGCTCTGTGCAGATCTGGAGCTAGAATGGCGAAAGAACGCGTTCACAAACCTGTTCACGCACGCCAGGACAAGCGCACTCTTTTTTACGTTCGTCAGGCAAAATACGAACGAGTTCAGTTCACATTCATGAAAAAAACGAACTAATTCACGAACAATCATTCAATGAACGCGTTCGGGCACAACACTGGAGGCTGCCATATTCTGGCACCACCCGTCCCTCCGACCACCACCAGCAGGCAAAGTGGGTTAAGTGTCTTTCCCAAAGGACACAATGACCGCAACAGATTGAGCGGGGCTCAAACCTGCAGCCTTCCAATTACAAGGCAGGCCCGTTACTCCTCTGCCAGCATCGCCTCGACTTATTTTTTATGATTGTTTTAGAAATTTATTTTAGCTAAACTGTAGGGAATGAGATGCACTTGTGAGAAAAGATTGATAAAGTTAGGTATTTCTCACATTTATAATGGATTCTCTTGGACTTTATATTATTTATACCCATAGATAACAATGTGTTGTCATGAGAAGTTTAAAGAAAAAAATAGTTACCAGTCACAATAAGGGGGCTTTTGTCATTTGAAAAAAAAAATTCTTGACTCTATTTTAAATTTCGACAGAGCAGCAACAAGATGGTTGGAGGTGTCGGACTGGGCCATTCTGGTAGTACAATGAGAGCATAAAAATGCAGATGACTAAACAACTTTGCAGAAAAAACAAGCACATGCCCTTTAAAAGTTTGAATGCTATGCGTCTTTGCAAAAAAAATATTCTTAAACATTAAGAGTATTAAAACTGAAGAAATGACAGAACGCTTTTGTGAATATAAATTTGTTACAGGCATGGTTTCACTGTATCACTGGTGCATTCATTTGAAGCACTGAGCCATGTCTCTGAGAGATGATTAGGCCCAGAGCAACATCTGTCTTCTGTTGATGCTCCGTCCATAGAGTAAGGTCTCTTACTTTTTAGCTTTAAAAGGAAAATGCAACAAAAACAAATTCACATGAAAAGAGATAATAGCCCCTGAGGCTGAATTGTCTGTTAAGCGATTCTTCTAGACGAATCCTGTTTCAGTGTGTTTTTGGTTACCCTACTGGAAAGGCTGTATTTGTAATTGTTGTAGTTACGTGAACAGTTAGATTTCATAAATCGTTTCTGCATAAGCAGCACTGACAGCTTTGAAAACGCCTCAGATGAAAGTTTCGTCACAGACAGAACAAAAGGGTCAGTAGTGAGTGTTGGAGAAATTACGCTACAATCAAAATTCTGTAGCGCTGAAGGGTCCAGGACCAGAACAGAGGAAAAGCTTTCCACGGATTTCCATGGATTCTAACATCAGGTTTTGGAGTTTATTGAAGCTATGTGATGTCAGCCATACTGGAAACTTATTTTTGCATACTCTTTTAAGCTGTCCACGTACTTTGTCATTTGTAACTCCAGATTTTTTGTATGTTTATAAGTTTACATAAATATAGCCTAGTAAGCCATTCTGTAAATGTGAATATATAGCCCATAGACAGAGCACAATTGTGGGGCAAAGTTGTCTTTCAAACTGCCTCTGCATGCTATTGGACAATGAACAACATGGCGTACTCACTACAACGGATGTCAGTCAGTGGGGCAGTCTGCCATACACAGTCGATGAAGACGCCAAGACATCCTTTTTCTAAATGAAGGACTTAAGTACCTCTATCTTCTCTTGACTCAAAGAAAAGCCCAAGTCTAAATGGTCCAAAGCAGTTTCAAAGGAGCTGTTGCCATCTTTGTTTTTTCACTAACAACCCGCCCACCAAAGCAATAAGGCGTTGTGATTGGTCCATCAAACCGAAAGAGTACTGTGACTGGAAAGACACAGAGCTTGAGAAATAAAAACTGCAACTCAAACCAGTATTTTTACCATTTGCCAAACAGGCTGTGTGCTGTGACCTACATTTTTCCAAGTGGGGATTTGACAAGTTTTAGCATTTCTTTAGCAAACAAGCAAAAATGCATCTATCCTACACTTTTCTTTTGCCCTTGAGTCAGCTGTTTTCCCTTTTCCCTGCTAGAGTGGAAGGCTCGTGTCCTTCCACCGTCTTCCCTATGATTACCCTCTCCATCCATCACATCTTCCCTTGCTCCATCAGTTCAATGAGCTGCGAAGGGATTTACTGCTCACACCCATGAATGTGGTTTACAGCACATCCATATCCATTCCACTCCATGACAGCTCATGCCAGGACAAAGAGTTGCTTTTTTCTCAAAGTAAAAAAAAAAAATACTAAGCCAGCTTTAAAATGTGAAATTTCGTGTCACCATAAGGAAATTGTTTTCTTCACTGTAGCAAGCAGAAAACCAAAATCCTAAAAAAAGCTTGAGTAGAAAAAGCAGTTTGACCACAAAAGCTGTGACTTTTATTCAACCTTGTCGCTTCAACAACACACACAACGATTCAGAGTAAAGTGCAATTAAGGGAAAATGTCCTGAATAGGCTTCTTGTACTTTTATTTATGGTTTTATTTTTCTTAAACAAATACATGAATTAATAGTAAAAGCATATTAACCTTCTGCCAGTGTAAAGAAATTTTGAAGCCAAATACCAAAATTATTCTACTTACAGGATCAGTGGAAAGACTCAAATTGAAGTCAAATTTTTGCCAGTTCTGTAGCAACGTATCCACCGATGTCTGAATCTATGCTGGCAGAAAATTAGATATGAGGAGAGTCTCATAGTGACTCCTCTTTAGATGTGTCTGTGAAAGGAAGTAGGAAATAGAAGGAAAATGACAGAAAGGAACTGTACAGGGAAATTAGGAATTCGATTCACACACAGTAGGATTCAACAGTAGAGTTGTTACCATTACCAAGGGGCAAAAATGCAGTTCCACCCTCATCCACCAGGGGCTGGCACCAGACACGAGCAAATGCCAACTTCACAGCAGAATAAATATGTTTACTAAAAACAAACATTTTAGGTTTAATAGGTCTAGTTTACAGTCATGACATCTCTGAGGGGAGTTGATTTTTTTGTTAGTCTTCCATTTAGGTGTAACTAAAGGCTTGAACATATGAATAATTAGATTTGATTGACAGGTAGCATGAGCATCAGAGCTAGCGTTAGTGGCTAGTTTCGAAGAAGGCCTCAGCCAGGACCTCACAATAATATGCGTTTGGCCATTTCGACACTCTGAATTTACAACACAGTCTCACACCCGAAGAGGTTAAAACTGATGAGTGGTGACCAAGTGTTTGTTTCCGATGGGTCGGTAGGCGCCGCTCAGTGCCAGAGCATCGGTTTCTAAAGCCTGCGGGAAAACGCACATTTCACTGACATTTTACCTCTAAAATGCTGTTTTACCTTCCCCTCACACCCACCCTGTCCTTAACCCAGTTTCTCATTATAAACTTCCCG